ATATAACTTATGAGGTGGGCATCCCAGTAACTTATTACAATGTCATTGACTCTATTCCCTATGCTGTACTTTACATCCCCATGACCATTACAACTACTAATGTGTAGTTTTAACCCCTTCACCTTCTTCACCCATCAGCCCCCACCCCCTCTCATCTGGCCACCATCTAAATGTTCTCTGTATCAACGAGCTTGTTTCAGTTTTGTTTGATCATTTTTTAGATTCCACATGTATGTGAAATCATATGGTATTGGTCTTTCTCTCTGTTTCACATAGTATAATACCTTCTAGGTCTACCTGTGTTGTCACACATGACAAGGCTTCATTTTTTATGGCTGAGTAGTATTCCATTGTGTATATGTACCTCATCTTTATCCATTTGTCTATTAGTAATAATTGTTCACACATAATAGCACTTTTGTGTCTGTTAACTGACTTAACCCTCACAACCACCTTGGACAATGAGGACTATTATCATCTTGGAATAAGGACTCTCCTGAACTATTATCATTATCGCCCAGTTTAAAGATGGGGAATAAGAAGTTGTTGCACAGAGCATTGAAGTTACTTGCTCAAGGTCATACTAGTAACGAGTAGCACAACCAGGTGCTAAACCCAGGTCCTTCCACAGAGTTTATTCTTGGTCTTAACCACTTTGCTAGAGAAACTCCTATCAGTTAACTTCCTCTTCTTGGACATTACATGTAAGAGCTTCTATATTCTTACGACTTTGAGAGTATGTTTTAGCACGCTTATTTCACCTAAGGATCTCCTGGCTAGTAGGTGGTGAAGCCGGGACTGGACTCTAGACTTTCTGTCTGCCCACATTTCTAGTCTTCGAGATGTAAGACTTTCCAGAGGAGGTAACTCTAAAAGGCCTTCCTAGTGGATTAGTTGGGTTGTTTGTCTACCTAAATCTCTCTTGGTCTCAGTAATCCAAACCAAATGTCACAGTCACACTCTACAAGCATTAGTAAACAAATAAATAATAAAGTAATATTTGAGAGCTCACTATGTACCAGGCGCTGTTACCTCACAGAGATAAGTTGAGTCTGACGATAAACCTGTAAGTGCTCACCTACTTTGGAAGTGCAGAGTCACCGGTCATAAATAATGTATTGTTAGGTACGTGCATTCCTTTTTCAGAGAAAAATCGCTGCTGCTCGTCGCGGAGGACACAGGCGCACTCAGAATTCAGTGCCCTGTGTAGGCGCTAAAACACACTCCTGCCTGCTGCACGGCTTCACTGAAACCTAAGAGGCGAGATTGTTTCACGTGGCCCACATATGACGAATCTTTTTCTAAATATTTGAAACCCGAAAAGGGACGCACTGCCCTTAAATCTAAGAATACATCCAATGACTTGAAAATGTCAAAACCTTGGAACATGGCAACCTTCCTGTCTTTTCTGAAGAATCTGGTCTGAAAGTATTTCTATCAGAACATGAAGCTGGAAAGGGAGAGATGACGATAAAGGTCACTAAAGGGTGTTGTAAGACAATCCTTGGCCACCCCTACATTCCTTGTCTGCTCAGCGGACTCGCCGTCCTTTGTAAATGAACAGACTCTGCTTCTCCAGCTTTTAATGACCAAGAAAAGGGCTCAGAAACATATCACGTATTGGCAGTAACGTAGCCATTAAACTTGAGGAGGCTGGGAAAAGGGCAAGGAAAAGGCAGGAAAAGCCTCCCCCGCAGCCTCCCACCCCCACCCCCACCACACACACAGACATAAGCCCCCGAAATGAGCTGATGCACATTTTAGGTCACCCGGGGAATCTGAAGAGCAGAAACCGGGGACCTTCAGAGAAAGGTGTGAAGGGAGGCAAAGGCGTTTGAGGGAGCTGTCACAGTGTGATACAAAATTAAAAGTGAACTCAAAGACCAGATCCTCCGGAGCAGGAAGAGCAGGCAGAGCAGGCAGCCAGTCTCCGGGCACTCTAGCGACTGGAGGTGCTGGAGTGAATGAGGAGGAGGGCAGCACTCCTCGCTGCGGCCCGGTGGCACAGCCTGGAAGATGCTAGAAGGTGTGGGCATAAAAGGAATGGACCACCCACACCTGGCTCCCCCACAGGGGTGCAGCGGATGGCCACTGCAGCCCTTCTGGTGAAGGCTGCTCTCCAGGGAGGTGGGAGGCAGAGTCTCTCAACAGCTGGGTTTCTTCGGAGTTGCCCGTGTCTTTCTCCCACCCCCTGGTACTGTGACAAACAATGTCATAATGGGAGAGAAGGTCACCACGGACCGTCTGCGCCCAGCCAGGGGTGTGTTCGCAGTGAAGGGAAACCCCCGGAGCACTCAGTGGGACGGATAATGGCAGACTCCAGCTCAGTCCTACCTGATCATCCTTTATAACATCACTGAGTTTCCCTCCTATTTTATGGGCTTGCCAACAGCTGGGGAAAACCCACATAAAGGCATTTATTTTAATTATCACTTGACGATTTTATGTACTGCTTCGAGCCACTTTTAGTCCCCTTTGTATCACCTGTGCTGAATTAGCAGCCTCAGGATACTCCACTGTGTTCCCTTTGGAAAACGCCCCTCTGCGTTTCATCCTGTAACCCACAGCTGTGCTCACGATCCAGTAGTGTGTTTTGTCAATGATTACTTATAAATACAGCTGGAAAGAAAGCACTTCTAAGAGTCACTTCCCTATCACTTGGTTAGAAAGAGAAAAGTCAGATTGAGACTGTGATAGCATTCCATTCTCAACAGATGTAAAACACCTGTTTGCAAAAGCAGCCGGCCCTTTTCTATACCAGGGCTGGTATGCAAACTCCTGACTCCTGAAAGTGCTCAGGGTCCCCAGGAAGGAACTGCTCCCCAGCCCAGAGAAGCCATCTCAACTCAGGGACTCACCTGCCTCCAGGCTCCCTAAGCCAAGGGAGTAATGGAACAGGAAGGGTGCTTCTGCAGGGTGGGAGTCCCCCCACCCCGGACGGCTCCCCATTCATTCCTCTGTCCCACCCTCCCACACAGAGCAGGCTCACACAACACCACAAAACCCACGGGTGGCCATTCTCCAGCTCCAGCCAGTCCCGTTTGGACCCTGGGGAAGAGAAGGAATTTCTGCTTTCCTGGAAAAGGGAGCTCTTTACCAAGGCCTCAGCAGTTCAGCTTAAGTACAGTGCAAAAAGTTTAGAAGTTTGGACTTGTGGAAACAGCTGAGTTTCTTGTGTGTGACCCATTTAAACCAGGTCGTTTTTAAATGCTCTTTCAAAGTCTGATTATATTAACCAATGAAACCGTCCAGTCATCCACAAGGAGGACCGAGAGCCGGTTGCAGCGAATACTCGCCCCTGAATGCAGGGCACTCGGAAAACTGTGTGCTGGAGGGAACAGCCATCACTTTCCATTCCTTTTCCTTTTTAAGCAACTTTCCAGAGAAGAAGCTGTTTTAAATACATCACGAGTCCAGCCGCCTCTAGGTGGATGTCAAACAGAACGACACCTCTTTTTTAAAAATGAAAACAACATGTGTCGAGTTTGAGAGGTCCCACAACCACGAAGCTGCTAGAAACAGTGCAGCAGGGTTTCGAAATGACTGGTACAGGGCGTGCCCACGGAAAGAAATGTTTCACGCACTCGCGCCGCTGCTACAGTTACTCCCGCAAAGTGCCGCGAACTTTCCAAGGGCGGCAGGGGAGGACGCTGGCCGCCCTCCCTCGGTCTGGTCGCCTTTCGAACACTCCAGCCGTAGGGACGTTTGGCAGGAGGGGGTCGAGGGAGATGGGAGGACCCGGAGAAGGGGTGGGGAGGGCAATGGCTTTGTCGGAGCTCCTGGGTCTTAACAACCGGAAGGTTTCGCTTTCATCCAAGCAGGGGATCAAAGAGGTGGCGACGAACTTCCTCCCCCAGAGTTTCCCTCCTACACACACCCCGGGCCGCGGAGACAGCAGAAACGCCCCAGCGCTGCCCGATCGGGCGGCCCCGGAGCGCTGCGGCGGGGAGGCGGGGAGCGGCCGGGATGCCCGGGGCGGGACCCGCCGGGAGCCCGGGACCCGGCGGGAGGGGGCGCCTACCTGGGAGGGCGGCGCGCTCACAGCGCGGGGTCGGGCCGGGGCGCGCAGGTGCTCGGGGGCAGCTTGGGGCCGGCCCGGGCGGGCGGGACGTCCATCGCGGCCCCGAGCTGCGGGCTTCCAGCCGCAGGAAGCCGGGAGGAGAGCCCTGGGCTCGGCTCCCGCCTCTTTTCCACCGAGCTGAGGATACCAGGGACCCGGCGGCGGCGGCAGCAGCAACAGGCGCAGCAGCGGCCGCGGCGGAGGCGGAGGCGGAGGAGGTGTCTGCGCGCGGCTCGCGTTTCCTCCTCGCGGGCTGGGCAGGCGCGGGCGATGCGAGGGGAGGGCGGGAGCGGGGAATCTCCGGATTCGGTCCCCGGGGACCTCGGAGAGGGACGCGGCGCCCCCCCTCCCCACTGCGCCGTGTGACTGCGCGAGCGGCGCGGCCGGGACGGGCGAGTCACAGGCGGCGAACAGCTGCTGCACTGCGGGTCCAACGCGGCCTCCCTCGGCTCCGCGCGTCTCCCCTTCCTGGCGGTACATCCCCGGCCCCGCGGAGGCTCCAGCCCCGCCCGGAGGAGGGTGTGGGGAGGTGTCCAGGGCGCCGTCCCAGCGCAGGGTCCTGGCCCGCCGGACTCCTGGTGCGCAGGGCCCCGCGCGTGATTAAGGCCCTCGTGGCGCGATGCGCGGTCACACACCCTGTCCTCAGCAGCCTATTTATAGCAGGTGGCCGTGCCCGCGGGGCTCTCCGCAGGTGGCACTGCCAGCCGGCTCTGCTCGTCCCCGCGGTGGCGTAACCTCATCTGCACTCTCGCCTTCTCCCTCCGTCATGGACCTGGTGAACCCTGCACGGAACACGGAAGGCTGCCCCCCGTATCACCCCTTCTTCCAGGCCTTCGTTGGATAACGGCAGGGAGTGAAGTGAGGCCATGGCATCCTATGGGGCGCTGGCAGGCAAGGCAGGAAAATCGAGGACTCGGGGAAGCGGCAAAGGCTGAAGAGCCCTCCCCTAGGAAACATCAGGGCGCCGGTTTCTGAACAACTGCAGGGGCGACGCAGGGACTGGACTGGGAGCTTTCTCGCGCGTGCACGTGAGCGCACACACACACCACACATACCACACGCACCCCCCCGCGGTGTGCTTACCCCTGGATCGGGTTTGGGAAAGTTCCCAAGCGGCCTTGCAGAGTGTAAGGAGGCATTCTAGGGATGCGCAAGATGCCTGGGAAAGTGGGCTTCTAGGGCAGGGATGGCGATGAGCAGAGAACAGGAACCCTCCCAGATCCCTGTCCCACCCGTCTCACTTTCGTGAGAAGGCTGTGGGATCTGAAGAAAGCAGGCTACGGAGCGCGACTCTAGAGACGAGTGAGCAGGAGCAGGGAGAGGAAGAAGGAGGAGGTGAGGGGTGGAAGGGGCAGTAGTGGAGAGGCATCTTTGGAGTTATTTTGCTTAGTGTAGCTGGAGACCCACGTTAGGGAAGTGGCAGAAAGTTTGGGCTTCAGGGTTGAACTTGAACCCACATCCCAACTCTACCACTGGTGTGGCCTAGGCAAGCTGCTGGAACTCCATTCCCTTACCTGTAGAGTGGGACCAATGCATACTTTATCCGACCACAGTGAGGACACAATAAGGAAGGGAATGTAAAGTGCTTAGTGGTAAGTACAAGGGCCTCAACTAATGGCAGCAGCTACTGTTACCATGGAGGCAAATAGGAGTTCGAGGTGACTCTCTCCTCATCCCGGCCTCCCGCAGAGCAGGATCCTGTTTGATAGGGTCCCTTTGTGAGATTCCCTGAGCCCATTCCCCTGGATGCTTAGTTACATCCAGGGGAGGTGTGTTTGAGTGGGACACAAGAGTTTTATTCGCAGCTTGATTTAAAACTCTAGCAGTAGTGGTGGTAGCTGCTCCTCATTGAGGGGCTAGTCTATTTGGGACATTGTGGTAGGGACTTTACATGTATTGTGTCTAGTTCTCACGAAACTCTGCAGAGCAGAGGTGAACTAAATCCACTGGACTAGTGAGGAAACTAAGTGAAGGCCTCCGGGAAAGCTAGTGGGTGCTGGAACCCCCAAAATCCACAGCCCCCAGTAACATACTTTCTTTTTGGCCACTGTGTAACTCTTATAGCACTTAGCTCATTCTTTGTTATAGCACAGTTGTTTGTATACTTAGGTGGAGTATACAGATCTTTTTTTAAAAAAGAGGTGAGGAGTATACACAGACATGAATACTCTGAGGACTGGAATGTCCATTGGTTCCAAGGCCAGGTAAACCAGCTGTGCCATATTGTCCCCTGGGTCACACCATCATTATTCCACATCTTCATCTCCACCTCGGTGTGACAGTTCACATTCCCTCCCTGGAGCAGCCTGCTGGACACACATACGTCAAGTGCTTGGATGTCAAGACAAGTACACTGTCATCAGTTTCATTGCCACCCCAAACTGCCTTACATGCACGCATAACCTGGCAGGTGGTGGTTGAAACTATTACCTAACAACCCTGCCTGCTAGCCCATGCCTCTGGGAGAAGGGTTAGTCCAGGACTGGGCTCTGCTAACAGAACATTTTGGTCAGAACCACCTATCATTCTGCCACTCCCCTTTTCTTTTTCTCACTTACCCCCTCACTCCCATTCCACCCTCACCCCCAATTCCAGGGTACAGGTAGGCTGCCAGGTGGGTGCCTAATCAGGTAACAGACACAGGAAGTGGGGGGACTGGGGGGAGGGGCAGAGGCAGGCCGAGGCAGTGGAGTGGGAAAACATGCCTGCCCCACACTCCATGGCTAAGAACCAGCAAGTTGCAGCTCAGTGATTTATAACTTAGTGGCAAATGACCATTTGCCCGGATCCCTAACCTAGGTTAAGGGAGGATCATGGCCTTGTACACTGCAGTGATTTCTGCATAATTTTTCCAGTTTCCAGGGTGAGGTAATGGCCTAGGAATGATAATGAGGGATTTATAATACAGGAGAATACACATCTCAGAGAGTAGGATATAGCCCCCTCAGCCTCATTTGCACCCATTTCTAGCAGTTCTGGAAGAAAGAATAAAGGGGACAAAAGAAAGAATAAAGGGGACTTGGGGGCTGATGGCAGGATGAAGGGTGTGAGACCAAGAGGGGACATCAAGTTGTCCCAGTGCAGAGTGAAAGGCTAAGAGGTAACCACCCAGCTCTTACCCGCAGGTGCCTTTGCTCCAGGAAAGAAGTAGCTCCTTCCCCTGGTCCTGCTGATGTGTGTGTGTGACTCAGAGCAGAGCTGGTGTATGGCCACACCCGAGGCCGGAGAACACGGAGCCCCTGGGGGCCGAGAAGGTGTCCTGCTGATTGTCAAGTCACCAGGAACAAAAGCAAGGAGGGAATGGGCCACACTGTTCTGTGACTCTGCTTCAGGCCCTTGATTCTTATGACTGGTGTGACCCAGGAGTGCACAAGGCAGTTAGCTGACGCCAGTTCCTGACCCCTTGGCTCAGTGAATGAAAACCCCAGACAGGAAGGCTTCCACGATCTTGGCTGCCGCCGTGGCCTTGTGTGGACAACCTCTGCACCTCCCGCTCCTTCTGAAATCCTGCCAAGGGTCATTCTTCTGGCGCTTTCCCTATAGATTCTTTCCCAAAGTCTTCATTTGCAGCACAATTAATTATTCATTGCCAAGTTTGTGCGGTTTTTGTCCATAAAATAAAAGACACATTTTTCATTTTCACCACTAAGTTTATTGATTTGGATATTTTGAGTATGCCAACTATCCCCCATGTGGTATAACATTGATTGTTCTCAATTAATGTCTGGATTTGATCGCTATCAACTTCAACTGGTTTACTGGACTGTGGAGCATCATCCAGTGAGAAATCTCCAGCATAAAACTTCAAAAACGACTTTTGACATACTCCACCAGTTACAGCACCTTCTCCATACACTGAATAAATCATTCTTTGCATTTCAGTTGCATTTTTACCTTTCTTAAAATAATGAAACACAATATGCCAAAAATGTTGCATATTTTCTTCCATTTTCAATATTAAAATAACTATGCAAAGACTTACCAATTTTGGTGTTTTTTTTTTAAATACACACTGATATGATAACCATCACAATACAGTTTAACAAAATTGTTCCAAATGAAATTAAGGACAACTAAACACTACTCGAGCCATCTTCCAAAAACAAAAAACAAAAAATACCAACCCCAAACAAACTTTGTGGCCATCCCAGTATCAACTTGAAAATGGCTGCACAGCTCAGAAAACTGTGACCCACTGATGCATTAAAGCAAGTGAGAAGCCCAGATGCTGGGGGGGGTGGGGGGGACAGAGGCCACTTGACTTGTAAAAAGTTAAGAGAAGTAAGGATAAATCTAGAATGAAAAGTCTTTGTTTAAATAGAAAAGAGACCTTTAATAAAATTACTCATTATTTTTAGCTCTACCAGTTATTGAATGTTTATATTAGTTAGAAATCCAAACTTTGTTGCTATGATACCTTTTCACCTAACTTCCAGATATACATAATAAGATCAGAGTTCTTGATTAGTGGGTCTTCCAAAACTGGTGTAAATAAAGGCAAGGAATTAAAATAATCCTAGATAGAGCCCTAGAGCGGTTCAGTGGGGGTGCTGGTTCCCATGAACCGGAAGTGACTTTCTGGACCCCGGGACTGCCAGTGACACCTGGGATGTCAGAGAAGGTTCCAGAGGCAAGTGTGAGCTCCGTGGGGAAGGGTACGAGGCTGAGAAGCAGCGTCGGCCTCCAACACAGGAGGAGGCCGTACCTTAGCACCGGTGCTGGGTGATTTTCCAGCCATGCCAACCCGAGGCATAACCACTCACATCTAAAAAGTACATGAAGTCATACCCAAGAGACTTAATTAGCAATGAGAAATATCCTTCATGACAAGTAAATGGGGTGAAGTCAAGATCAGAGTCCATTTCATTGACTTGCCTGTAATGCTAGGCCCCTGGAATCGCTTTTGAAAAGGCATAAGAATGACAAAATGCAGTGGGGTCATAAAAAATAAATGAAACGAGCACACAACCCATGCAGATTTCGGAACTTCAGCAGTTTAAGTAAACACAAATTGTACTGCCGAGAGAACTCATGCTTAGGGGGTGAGACCACGTAAACCTGTGTCATGTGAGGACACGTGCACTGTGTCTGCAGCCCAGGGCCAGCTTCTGTGAAGAGTGTAGCCTCCTTTTATGGACAAAGCAGATAAAACTCTGGGCTCTGCTTCTACTTCCTTTTTCAGTTCCCTCTCCTGTTTGTTAAATCATCGCTCTACACAAGCCACTGTTGCACACAGCTCTCTGATAGTACGCAGTCTCTGCTTGGGGGTCCCACTTCCCACTTGAGCCGGTTTTGTGGGTGTAGGCGTCCAGAGCAAAGCTGGGCAAGTGTTAGCTGGCACATCACCCAGAGATGTGGTATTGAAAGATGTCTGAGGTCTGGGAGAATTTCTTTGTGATTGTCAGGGTTATGGATCTCAGGGACTTTGTCCAGACTGGTAAGATGACTGAGCTTCCACCACTGCAAGACCCCCAGTTCATTTTATCCCAAATGCCATCGCTACATTGCTGGTACATAATGTGTAATCTCACCTAGAAAAATGCAGTAGCTGCTGGTGTCCCTGCCTTTACCCTCACCACCCTGCTGTCTGCGTTTAATACAGCAGGCAAGTAAATCTGTTAAAACACTGGGCGGGATATGCTACTACTCTGCTTAGAACCCTGCCATGGCCTCTGATTTCCCAGATTGAAAGCCAAAGTCCTTCTAATGGTTTACAGAGCCCTGCGGGATCTCCCTTTCCATCACCCGCACCCCACCCCACCCCCGCACCTCATGCTACCAGCCTCAGGGCTCTCACTGCTCAGACTCCCCTGGCCCGGCTTCCTGTGCCTCAAGCCCGCCAGGCACGCTCCCCCCTCAGACCCCCACGTTGCCCCGACTTCAACTTCTTTAGGTCTTTGTCTAAATGTCACCTTCTCTCTGAGGATTCCGATCAACCTTTTGAACAGTTATATTTATCCATAGCACTTATCGCTGTCTAACATGCCGCATTAGTTACTTACCTGTCATTTGTCATCTGTTTCTTTGCCCCTGTTCCATGAGGAAATATTTTTTCTGTTTTGTTCATTGCTGTATCTCATGCATAAGAACGGAGCCTAGCATATGGTGGGCATTCAACAAATATGGAATGGATGAATGAAGGAATGAATGAATACAATTTGCAACATGACGTATTTGTGAGTTCATGGAATGTCTATATGGTACCTCCCTTAGACTGAGAACTTTCTAGGTTTCCCTCTACTTACCCCTTGTGCCCTCATCGGGTTTCTCAAATGTCCAAAGAGATGTGCCAGTCCTGTCCCACCGGTGAGCAGGGTGTTCACACATGTGACCACTTGTTTAACCATCAACACGGGGTCTGACTCCCAGATAAACTGGAAAAGGATTGTAAAATCATGGAACAACTGAGAGTTCGTCCACACTCAATGTCTGTCAAAAGCTTGGTTGAGAAAAGCATCCTTTTGGAGAACTGCCTGAAAGATGTACGGTCCGACTGCTCCTCCAGACCCTGGACCCCCTGAAACCAGCTCCTGTATCACCCCAACCCGAGTGAGGAGCAGTTTGCCTGGACTAGACCCAGAACAACGTCTTTTATCGAATTGCACTTTGATGTTGTCCCATTTGCCCATATTAGGAGACCACGTTTTGTAAAAATGCCCGATTCAGCCTGGGGATAATGTTTAATACCGTATACAATGTCCTTTTGAGGAGAATCAGGAAAAAGTTCTCTCAGGGCTCTGCCAGGAATCCCTTTTCTTCCGCGTGGACCTGTTTGTTTTTCCATCCTTGCACTAATGTGCTCAAGGGTCAGATGCGTGATCCGTTGCTTGGCCAGAATCAAAGTCATTTTGGGTATTAAGTCACTGATTCACAAACGATGCCCTTTCTAAGCCACTGCCACCCTGTGCCAGTTCTCATTGATCTGACACCAATGAACACGAATAACAAACTGGACTGTTCTGTATTCTGAGATTGTTTGTTCCACTTTGTAGGTGTTCTCAAACTTTTTTTAATGAAATGATGGTAAAAGTTAGTAGTTGGAGCCCTTGTTGGCATGTTTTAGTTTTGTTTTTTAATGTTCTTACCAGGCAAAAAATATAAGTGCATGCTTCTGTCTGTTTTCAGTGTTTGGGCAGTTTTACTGGCTCAGAAAATGCAAAGTCTAGGAAGCACTGGTTCCTTTTTTCAATTAAATTGTATATTAAAAATATTTTGTATTAGCTTTAGGTATACAGCATAGCAGTTAGACAACCATATACTTTACAAAGTTTCCCCTTGATATTTCCAGTGGTACCATACATAGTTATTACAGCATTAATGACTATATTCCTAGGCTGCACTTTACATCCCCAGGACTATTTTGTTACTACCAACTTGTTCTTTTTGTCCTTTATTTATATTGTTGATACTATTACAGATGTCCTCATTTCCCCCTCTCTCTCCCAATTTGTACTTCTTAACCCCTTCACTGTTCCCCGTCCCCCTTCCCAAGTCCCCTTCCATCTGGCGACCATCAGTCAGTGTGTTCTCTGTTTCTATGAGTTTGTTTCTATTTTGTTTTGTCGGTTATTTTGGTCTTCGGATTCTGCATGTAAGTAACATCATACGGCATTTGTCGTTCCGTGACTTATCTCCATTAGCAGAACACCCTCCAGGTGCGCCCGCGCTGCCCCGAATGGTACAACTTCGTTCTTCTTTATGGCCGACTAGATGCCACGTAGGCCCGCGCCACGCCTTTTAGGAAGCGCCGGCGGTGGCTTTACTCCTTGCTCTATTCAACCTCGCTGACATTTCTTCCTTTAGTCCCGTTTTCCTATTCGCTTGTTTTTAAACTTTCGTTGCTTTGAGTGCATTTAAGCATCATTTCTGGAACGTGACAGACACGAATGCACGAGTGGTCGAGGAGGTGACTGCGCAAACATCTGCATGGCGCAGCCGCCAGCTCCGCGGTGCCCCGGACCTTCTTACTAAAGCGCCTGGAACGTTGCCTGGAAGTGCGCAGTGCTTTCTAATTGACATGTCTCATCTTAATCCTCTTGGTAGCTCTGAGAGACGTTATTTCCCCACTTTCCCATGTTATATACATGAGAAATTGAGGCTGAGTTTTCATAAGGCAGAAACTTACAAAGGACAAATTGGAAATTCAACCTAGAGGTATGTTCTGCTTTCCAAGCCTGATTCTTTCCCTCTCTACTGTGTGACCGCCTTTGAGAGGGACTGGTTCTGAGCGTACCGTTCTGCAGAGTTGTGTTGTTTTCTAAGAAGACGCAAGGAGAGACTGGTCATTTCCTTGGCCTTCAGGATAAACTTCCCTTTTGCAAGGTGTTCCGTGGGAGGGCTGAGCTCCGGCTGGGGCTTTCTGACCCTGCTGAAAGCTCAGGCAGCATCTTCGAACTGAGTCAACGTCCCCTTGATCAGCGCATATTGAAAAAATGTGTTCTGGACTAGTCTCCTTTTGATCACTTTTCTATCACAGAATGACTCATATTGTGCAACAGCATTGTAGTGGGAGCTTGCCTCATTACTTACTGATTTCCTTTAACAGTAACGCTGAGCTAGAGACATTCAGCCCTCTTCTCATTTTCCTGTTGCTAAATATAAAATGGAAGATGAAGTTCTATTATTCAGGGGAAAGGAATGTAAGTCCTTGAGTGGAGCTTAGGGAAAAAAATTAAGGGGGAAGTAAAATTTCCTAAGGTCCCCCAAGTGGCAGGCATGTACCACAGAGGGCTCGGTAGTCTTTCAACCAAGAGAGATTTGTTGACTCGTCTGCGGACTTGAACTAGACACTGGAGTGAAGCAAAGAAATGGGAGACATTGTCCCTGTCCTCAGGACCCTTACTCATACTCTACTAATTAGGGTCCAACAAACTTTATTCTA